CACACACACACACACACACACACACACACACACACACACACACACACACACACACACACACACACACACACACACACACACACACACACACACACAGACACGGGACACACACAGCCAGAGCTCACACAAACAGTTGCACAACTAGGTGAGTACACACACACACAGCCAGAGCACACACACACACACACACACACACACACACACACACACACGCACGCACACACGCACAATCATACACACTCACTGACATACACACAAAAGGAGCCTCGTAGCTGACCGGACAACGTTCGGATGCCGTTTTAAGGGCCCGGGTTCAACTTACGGCCGAGGTAGAAACAAATGGGCAGAGTTTCCTTCACCTGATGGGCCTCTTCACCTAGCAGTAAATACGTACCTGGCAGTTAGACAGCTGCTACAGAATGCATTGTACTCACCTAGTTGTGCTTACAGAGGGTTGAAATTCTGTTCTTTGTTCCCACCTCTCAACTGTTAATCTGGTGTACAGATTTCTGATTCTATTGGGCTCTATCAGATCTACATTTGAATCTGTGCATGGAGTCTGCCTCCACCACATCACTGCCTAATGCAGTCTATTTGATAACTCCTCTGACAATTTTTATTTTTCTAATATCCCTATGGCGCATCTGGGTACTCAGTTTCCACCTGTGTCCCCCTTGTGTTAAATTTATTATCTCTATCAACCATATCAATTTCTTTGAAAATCTAGTATGTAATGATTATATCTCCTCTAACATTTCTTTTTTACAGAGAAATGAGGTTTAGCTCCCGTAGTCTCTCCTCGTAGATCATATACCTCAGTTCGAGTACTAATCTTGTGGCATACCACTGAACCTTCTAAAATATAATCTTGTACATGACGAGATGCGGAATCCATGCTGGAGATGCATACTTTAGGATTGGATAGACATATGTGGTATACAAGGCTCTGAATGATTCCTTCCACAAGTTTGTAAAGGCCGTTCTTAAGTTGGGCAACCTGACATTTACCGCTGATGACATCCACATGATGTGAGTAGCAGGGGACAGGTCTGGCGTAATATCATCCCTATGGTATTTCTCACTCTCGTGTGTGTGTTTCAAAGTATAGTAATAGATATTATGCATATAATAACAAAATGAAGTAGATATAATAGATAGAAATAAAGTCGTGAGTCAGTACATAAGACAACCGACGGTTAGAAAGGCTAAGTCCAAGAACTAACTTCTCAATTCTGCTAGCACTAGTAGTTAATACTCACATTCACACAGGGTGAAGGAGTGGGACGGGGTGGGGGGGAAGAAGTTGAGGAAAAGGAAGGAGAGAGTGGAAGAGCTTTCGAAAAATCGAGAAAGATAAAGAGCGTGAGAGGAGGAGATTGGAAGGAATGGGTGAGAGTGGAAAAGGGCTCGGCGGATTTTTGGGAAAGAGATTAGTGGAGAGAAAAAGAGAGGGATGTTGAGAAGGTGAGAGGTGAGAAGAAAGAACACTTGGACGATCCGGTAAATTTACATGAAAATGCAATTACAGTTTTTGTTTTAATTTTTCAGTGGGCTTCAATAACTAACAACGGCGACTTGGACACTGTGCTTGAAAACGGAGAGACGGTCGGACAACACATATGCAACGCCCTGGCCCGTCAGGGACATGAGGATTTCGGGCCTGGTGAAGTGAGTCTTTGTTGATTAAATATGTTGAAGAGTAAAAGTAAAGACAACGAATAAAAATAGGGCGTTTACCGTACTTAATAAATGAGACAATGAAAATTTCATATTTATTATGAATTATAGATTTGACATTTGCTATGAAATATAAAAGTGTTGGGGGGATGCGAGGGCGGTGATTATTTCATAGGGAAGAGCTTCATTTATTGTTCGGTAATCTTTCTGCAATTCTGTTCAACAGGTGTACCTGTACTACAAGCTTTGTCAAGGCCCATGGGAGTACGACAGTGAGCAGAGTACACTGGAAGTGTGTTGTGCAGGTGGTGAATACCAACCCTGTTAAAAACACCACCAACTCCTCCTCCCGTTGTCAAATCTATCTAATAGCTCATGTGATGAACTAACCGACTGCTTGCTGATAACGTCGTCTGCTTCGTCTGTTCTTCACTTAAAGTTCTTAAAGTTTTGTAAACAACGAATGTTTAACCCTGCACAAAATTTTTTCCATGAAATCAACATGCACCTCCCGTGTTGTATCATGAAGTAAAAGTATTACTCATAAATAAAGGTTCCATAATACGAGTTGTTTCTTACATCCAAATGCAAATTATCTATGCTATGTAGTATGCGGCCGCCCAGCATGGAGCCCCTACCTTGTCTAGCACAAGGCGAAGCTAGAAAAAATCAGAGGTACACCATAAGGCTAGTCCCAGAACTAAGAGGCATGATTTACGAGGACAGGCTTCGTGAAATGCACCTTACGACACTGGAAGACAAGAGCAAGGGAAGACATGATCATTACCTACAAAATTTTCTGAGGAATTTAGAGGGTAGATAGAGATAAACTGTTTAACACGGGTGATATGCGAACAAGGGCACACAGGTTGAAGCTGAGTACCCAAATGAGCCACAGAGACGTTAGAAAGAACGTTTTCAGTGTCAGAATAGTTAACAGATGGAATGCATTAGACAGTGATGTGGTGGAGGCAGACTCCATACACAGTTTCAAATGTAGATATGACAGAGCCCAGTAGGCTCAAGAATTTTTAAACCCGTTGATTGACAGTTTAGGGGCGGGACCAAAGAGCCAGAGCTCAACATTCGAAAGCACAACTTGGTGAGTACATCTAGGTGAGCACACACACACAAACACGCGTCCATCTTTCAAGAGTGAAATAGAGAGAAAGATCTGGGGGATGATAATCCACCGAACCTGTCCCCAGAAGCTCACAAGTCAAAGGATATCTTCAGCGGTGTATTCTAGATTAGCCAACATAAAAACTGCATTCAGAAACAAGCATAAGGAATCATTCAGAACTTTGTATACCACATATGTCAGGCCAATCCTAAATTATGCATTTCCATCTTGGAGTCCATACCTAGTAAAATACAATACAAAGTTAGAAAAGTTTCAGAGGTATGCCTACCATACTAGCTTAGTGGTTCGCTATGGTGAATACATATGTACATGGGTATATACAATGTGCGTATTTAGTGTAATAACAGCAAGAGGAGTATGTTGGGAGGAGCCATTATGGTGAGGGAGGTGGTGTCGTACCGTAGCGTCGTCTGCTGACTGCTGTGTGATTTGTCATGCAGTGTATGGTGGCCACTGTGCTGTTTGAACACAATACCAGCTTAGTTATATAGTTATGGTGAATATAACATGTAGATAGGTATACATAACGTGTGTAAATAGTGTAATAAAAACAATAACAAAATGGTGGGAGGAGGAATGTTGGGGAGTAAGATGTTGGAGGAGTGAGAGAGGGCTGGCTGGGTGTCGCAGTTCACACTCGCGAAGTTCTGAGTTTGTTGATGGTGAATGTATATTGTGTGTGATAGTGTATGGTGAGTAAATACGCAAATATATATAAATGAACGTGAAACATTGGATAAATGAGCAATATATGTGGACACATATGTGATGCATGTAACACAGTGTCTTGGGACAGTACGGATGTTCTAATGCCATAATATTGTGTACTTGTTCATTAATCATAGGATTGGCAAGAAAAACTAAACAAATGTATTAGGAAATGTACGCAAAAAATTAACAAAAAATAATTTGTAGCTGTGGCGCGACTGGCTCCGGGAGTCCACGTCTCGGCCGACCACCAAATCCTGACGTCACACGCCAATTTCCGGACCCCATTGCGGCTAAAGTAAGTACAGTTTTGATTTTGTTTTCATATCTTTGATCAAGGAAATGTATTTAACATTTTCAAACGCAAAACAAAATTTGCCCAGAATTCATTTCCTACACACAAGGAGTGGGGGGGGGGGGTGCCAAATATGAAGCTGGGGCAGCACAGTTGCAAGAGAACCAACATTCCAGGAGGCCTGGATCTTTTCCACTAAATGGGTGAATGTCAACAGACTGGGCGTTTGTCAACCGTTACAGTGCTCGAGTTAGGACCCGCTGCATTTGAGGAGCTTGGATCAATCACGGCTCACTGGCCGTTGGAGTCTAGTCGCACTTGGACAAGGCGAACATCTGCAAGCACGTTTACGCTGGTATTGACAACTGCTGCAGAGTTGAGTGCTGGCAATATGCAGTCAATGAGAGAGGTTCACCACATGCAGGACCACGTGCCTATACTAATATACAATTAATATATATATATTAATTAATTAATATAACCTATATTAATTGAAAATAACGCACTATAACGGCCTAATATAGCAAGGTTATTAACATGAAGCAATGATTTTGCTGTATGTAATAATAATTTTGCGTTCACAATATATTTTTTCTAAAGGTGTATTTTTCAAGCAGACAGCAACGGCAGATCTTAACCTTTACATTCATTTTGATCAACTAACGCATTTGGTGAGGTAGCACATATGTTCATGAATAGAATAAATAGAACTAAACTTGGATTAAACTAAACATGAATGGAACTTCAGGGATGGAACTAAGGGCCTGTGTTTACAAAAAAAATAAAGTGACATAACATAATATAGCGAATGAAACTGGTCAATGTTCCTAAAATCAAGTGGCAAAAGCTAATCTTATTATTGACTATCAAATGTGCTAGTTGCTCATAGACTTCAGATCGGAACACAATTGGGGTGTAATGTAGCATGAAGTAAAGGCTGGTGTGATTAAATGTTAGGTTAGGTTTACCAACCACTCGATGGTTATTAACGCTACTACAGCATCTTACTGACCAACAGCAGAGTATACTTTAGTACTGAACATAATCCAGGATTAAAGGAAACTCTGAGTTTATACAAAGATAAATGACATACATCTCTGCGAATCCATACCTTTGAGTAATGACTGAAAGGGTCATTATGGAGCGATTGTGCATGTGGATGTAAGAAACAACTCGTATTATGTATTATTTATTAATTGGGAAGTCTCATTTCTGCTTGACGAAATACGGGCTTTTACCATTGTATTTTAACACAATAGATAGATTATTTTATTGAGGAACATAATTCACTACAGAACTTAAATATTTGCACAGTATTAAGGTGAAGCTTGTTAGTAACGTCACGAACGATCATATCATACTATGTACATTCGATGGTTACATATCTTGGTTATCAATTAACTATCTTGGGAAAGGCGTAGATGTTTTCTTGGACGTAGACAACTCCGGCGATGTTGAATGTTAGCTTCACGGGAGGCAAGTTTAAATTTCCTTTTTACTAAATGAACATAATCAACCTTGACTATGCAACAGACGAAGCAGACCACATTATCAGTAAGCAGATATTTTGTGCGTCACGTCAACTGTTAGAGAGACTTGATAACGGGAGGACGAGTTGGTGGGTTATTACAGGCGTGGTACTGACCACCGGTACAACAGATTTCCAGTGTACTCTGCTCATCATCGTACTGCCAAGGGCCATCACACACCTTGTAGTACAGGAACACCTGTTTGAAGAAAATAGTTGAATGATTATCTCACAATTAATGCAACACTTCTACTCTTCAGGAAAGTTATTATCACTCAGGAATCTTCCATACAACTATATTTCTTTAAAAAATCTAGTTATACCTTCGTTGCCTCAGTTTTTATCAAACATTGTTTACTATTTTTGTCGTTTTGTCTTTACATTGCTTCCTTAAGATATTTTCCCAACGAAGACTTACTTCACCAGGTCCGTAGTTCTCATGTCCCTCACGAGCCAAGGCGTTGCATATGTGTTGTCCGACCGTCTCTCCGTTATCAAGCACAGTGTCCAAGTCGCCGTTGTTGGTTATTGAAGCCCACTGGAAACAACCAGGAATTTGATGTTTTTTTCACATGAAATTTTGTATGTTTGTGTGTTTGCCAAAAAATATAATACATCTCATTCCTCATGTGAAATATCCCATTTTCGTAAAGAGAGAGAGAGAGACTCATACCTCATCATCGCAAGTTGAGCTGCAGGTCTCTGAATCTTCACAGCTCTCCACGTCTATGGGCTGGAAGGGAAACACCTCGATCTCTCCGATGCGATCATTGACAAAGGCACCACACTGGCACTGGGACTGCCCCTGAGCACTGCAGGAACAATACGAGAGATGCTTTGTTATTCATAGTAACATTTGCTATGAGGCTTGAGATGACTGATAATCCGAATTTCCTTATAAAAGTATAATAACGAATTGAAATATTTATATTTTGTAATCAACAAATTATCCAATATTTCTTAGTTATAATTTAAAATAATCGCCAGCGTGATTTTATTATCACTAATTGAAAGAGGTTTAATAATACTAATTATATTTCATAATTCCTCGGTTATTGATGCGTATCTTTTCAGTACATCATCAAAAACATCTTTTTCCATGTACAGCAAGATATTAATCCGAAAAAACTTCTAAATGTAAATTACATGGTGGAGGAGGATGTTACCTGGTGAGGGCGGCGAGGGAGAGGAGGATCAGAAGGCACTTCATCTTGCTGGCAGAAGCTGTGTGAGGAGCAGCCTCCAGCAGGCAGCTTTATACTGCCTTGAGACCCTCCCCAGGAGGAGTGCAACGTTCCCAGGTGGGGCAACCACCTGCCCGCTCCCAGCAACGATTGACGAGTTTCTCTCTGAAAAAAAAAGTTGATCATTTTGGATCTTAAAATTAAACACTTAACATATATTTTTGTATTTTTTCAATTTTCGTTGAAGCTTTTGACTTTTTATTAGTATCCCACCAGCTCCTCATAGGGGGATTTCAATCGGGGAAGGATTGACTGGGAGAACAAGGAACCGCATAGAGGAGAGGAAACATGGAGACCTAAACGGCTAGAGATAGTAACTAAAAACTTGATAATGATAATCCACCTAACCTGTTACCAGAAGCTCACAAGTCAAAGGATATCTTCAGCGGTGTATCCTAGATTAGCCAACATAAAAACTGCATTCAGAAACAAGTATAAGGAATCATTCAGAACTTTGTATACCACATATGCCAGACCAATCCTAAATTATTCAGCTCCTGCTTGGAGTCCAATCCTAATAAAATACAATTCAAAGTTTGAAAAGTTTCAGAGGTATGCAACCAGACTTCGGCTCTTTGTTCCCACCACTTGACAATCAACTGGTTTACAGATTTCTTAGGCTATTGGGCTCTATCATATCTGCATTTGAAACTGTGTTTGGGGTTTGCCTCCACCACATCACTGCGTAATGCATTCCATTTGTTAACTACTCTGACACTGAAAAAAATTATTTTAATGTCTCTGTGGATCATTTGGGTACTATGTTTCCACCTGTGTCCCCTTGTTCGTGTTCCACCTGTGCTAAATAGTTTGTCGTGATCCACCCTATCAACTCCACTGCAAATTTTGTATGTGGTGATCACGTCTTCCTTTACTCTTCTGTCTTCCTGGGAGGTGAGATTTAGCTCCCGTAGCCTTTCCTCGTAAATCATACCTCTCAATTCTGGGACTATTGAGGTGATATATATCTGAATCTTCTCTAACTTTTTCTTATATTTAACTAGGTATGGACTCCAGGCTGAAGCTGAAAAAAACCTGTGTGTGTACTCACTTAATTTTGCTTACAGGGGTTGAGCTTTGGCCCTTTGGTCCCGCCTCTCAATCGTCAATCTACTAGTGTACAAATCATATCTACATATGAAAATCTGTGTGGATTCAGCCTTCTCCACATTTCTTCCTAGTGCATTCAGTTTACTAACTACTCTGATACTGAAAAAGTTAGTTCTAATGTCTCTGTGGCTCATTTGGGTTCTCAGCTTCCACCTGTGTCCCCTTTTGCGTTTACCATCCGTTATCTTGCGATGATTTCGGGGCTTTTTTAGTGTCCCCGCGGCCCGGTCCTCGACCAGGCCTCCACCCCCAGGAAGCAGCCCGTGACAGCTGACTAACACCCAGGTACCTATTTTACTGCTAGGTTACAGGGGCATAGGGTGAAAGAAACTCTGCCCATTGTTTCTCGCCGGCGCCTGGGATCGAACCCAGGACCACAGGTTATATAACCGTGATAAATAATCCATCCATGTCTACCCCTGTCAATTCCACTGACAATTTTGTATGTGGTGATCACGTTTCCCCGAGCTTTGCGGTCTTCCGTCGACGTGAGATACAGTTCAAGCAGCCTTTCCTCGTAACTCATGCCTATAAGTTCTGAGACTTTTCTAGTGACATACCTCTGAACTTTTTTTAGCTTCATCTTGTGCTTGACAAGGTACAAGATCCATTCTGGGCCTGCGTACTCAAGGATTTTCCTTACATATGAGGTACACAAGATTCTTAAATATTCCTTACACAGGTTTATGAAGGCAGTTCTGATGTTAGCCAGCCTCGCATACGGCGCTGATGTTATTCGTTTGATATGGGCTTCAGGAGACAGGTTTGGTGTGATATCAACTCCTAGATCTTTCTCTCTGTCCGTTTCATGAAGGACTTCATCTCCCGTTCGGTACCCAGTGTCTGGTCTCCAATTTCCTCCGCCAAGTTTCATTACCTAACATTTACTTGTGTTTAACTTTGATAGCTATATGTTGGACCATTCCTTCAGTTTGTCTCGGTCATCTTGTAACCTCGTACTATCTTCCCACATAATGTAGCTTCATGATATAGCTACATAATGTAGCTACATTAGCTTACTTAACTACATTAAGTGGCTTCCTACATAATGTAGTCTCTTATTAATGTATGTGTGTGTGTGTGCGTGCTTAGCACAATTCTCTCCATATATATATATGACATTAAGAGGAAATCTTCCATGGTATAAATAGCATGTTATTATCATTATAATAAATTTCGGTTCTCCATGTTAAAGGTAACTAACTTATTATTATGGCCAATAAAAGCGAGTTTAGCAACATACTCCAATGTTTTTATGTGTAACAAAAATTTTACGTCCTAAAGTGATTAATTCCAAATGTGTATTCTCCAAGCAGTTGTCAATGGCAGATTTTATTCTTTATATTCAACGTGATCAACTGATGCATATCCTAGTACATATCTTACTTAGAGAAAGTACATATCTTACTTAGTAGAGAAAGTACATATCTTACTTAGTAGAGAAAGTACATATCTTACTTAGTAGAGAAAGTACATATCCTACTTAGTAGAGAAAGTACATATCTTACTTAGTAGGGAAAGTACATATCTTAGTAGAGAATGTATATAACTTCATGGATGGAACTAAAGTGTCAGTTATTATGCATTAGCTCAATACATTTTGATGTTTATCCAAATGTATGACATAGCACAGAATAGAGAATGCAACTGAGCAATGTTCCAAGAATAGACGGAAGAATGCCTAACTCATTATTTGAGCATGAACTCTGCAAGTTGGTCTTTGACTCTTCAGATCCCCACAAAAATCTCTTTCAATGTTGCACGAAGAAAAAATTAGTTTAGTTAATGTTGGGTTGAGGCCTACCATCTTCATGAGGGTTATTAACGCCGCCACAATAGCTTACTGACCTACTGCTAAGTATACTGTGGTCCTGATTAAAGAAACTCTTTAATCTACACACCGATAAATGGGGTACAGCTCTCGGTGTATATCACTGTGAGTTAAAGACTGAAAATGGGTCATTTGATATGGGAGGAGCGTGCATGTGCTTGCATGGAACAACTGTTGTTATGTAATCTTTATTCACTGGTAACCCTCTCTTTTGCTTGTCAAAATATGGGCAATTACAATGATATTTTATCATCAAAGTTAAATTATTTAACACCATAATTCAGTCTACAACATTAAATATTTGTACAGAATAAAGATGAAGCTTGTTAGCAGCGTCACGAACGATGGTATCTTACTATGTACATTCGATGGTCACACAACTTAGTTATCAATTAACTTCTTAGGAGAAGTTAATTGAACTCCTGTCATGGTTAGTGTGGCATAACGGGAGACGATTCTGCTCGGAATTAAAGTTTTATTGAATATTAAATGAACATAATATACCTTGACTATGCAACTAACGAAGCAGACTCATTCTCAGCAAGTAAATGTTTTGTGTGTCACGTCAGCTGTTAGAGAGACTTGACAACGAGAGGACGAGGTGGTGGGTTATCACAGGCGTGGTACTGACCACCGCTACAACATATATTCAATCTGCTCTCCTCATCATCGTACTGCCATGTGCCTTCGCAGAGCCTGTAGTACAGGAGCACCTGTTAAAGATAAATGTAGAATGATTATCACACATTAAATGAACAACTTAACAACTTCCCTTCCTGAGGAAAGTTATTATTACCCAGGAATCTTGGGTGATAATTGTTAATTTCAATACCTCTACATTATATATATATATATATATATATATATATATATATATATATATATATATATATATATATATATATATATATATATATATATATATATATATATATATATATATATATATATATATATATGTATACAAAGAACTCTTTCTCTTGTGAACAGACTCGAACCTTAGAAAGCCAGGATGTTTGCGCACCATGACATAACCAGTACCCTAACTCTACACCACGCAGATCGTTAGAAGAGGTTGAAAGCCGGGACTATATCCGCGACAGAATTCAACTTCCCGACGACACTAGTCATGGCTATGAGATCAGAGTTAATTTTCATCGACCATTCACATTACCAGAGAGAACACGAGCCTCATATATGCACACGGAAAACTTGCTTAAACTCACAAGTCAAATGTACAAAGAACTCTTTCTTCACAGGACCGTATTTACCGTATTGAAAAATTTGACTTTTCAATACCTCTATATTTCATAACAAATATTGTTACACCATCGATGCCTCTCATTTATCACTGTTTAATCATTTGTTTTTGTTTTGTATTTACACTCCAGTTTTTACTTTAAGATATTTTCCCAACGAAGACTTACTTCACCAGGTCCGTAGTTCTCATGTCCCTCACGAGCCAAGACGTTGCATATGTGTTGTCCGACCGTCTCACCGTTATCAAGCACTGTGTCCAAGTCGCCGTTGTTGGTTACTGAGGACCACTGTAAACACCCAAGAACTTTATTGTTTTTTATATACAAAATTGTATAATATATTTCCTAAAGGATGTGATGATCAAACCACACATCAGATAATGGAGAAAGAACGGCGTTTCGGTCCGTCCTCCTACCAAACACACACCGAAACTACGACGTTGATACAACGTTCGAACAAGTTTTAACACCTCCTAACCAGTTATAACAACCAATATTGCAAGTTGTAACAACGTATTAATACGTCATAAACACGTTAAGCCAAGATGTAACAACTTTATTACAAGTTGTAACAAGCGGAAAACAGAAATAGTTTCGGTTTGTGTTTCCAGGGCTGGACCATTATCTACTCGTGAAATAGAAGAAAAGAAAGATACGGGGGGAAAAAAATAAGAAAAAGAGAGTGAGACGAGGAGCAGGTAAGAGAAGAAGGAATGAGGAATGAGTAAGAAAAGATAAGAATAAGGTGAAAGGCAGGAATAGGATGCAAGGTAAAAATGTGATGAATGTTTGAATGAGATGAAGATAAGAATGGGATGAGATAAGAATAAGAGAAGTTAAGAAAAAAATAGGGGTAAGAAAGACGGGTAGGCCTAAGTCACATATCTATTCATCTATGATAAATCTATCTATCTGTAACATATCTATATATTTATCTATCTATCTATCTATCTATCTATCTATCTATCTATCTATCTATCTATCTATCTATCTATCTATCTATCTATCTATCTATCTATCTATCTATCTATCTATATGTCTATCTATCTATCTATCTATCCATCTATCCATCCATCTCTCCATTTATTGTTTCCTCTATCCATCTATCTTTCTTTGTCTCCGTCTAGTAATCTATTTATCTCCGTGTCAATCCAACTATCTCTTCATGTATCCCTCCATCTATCAATCTATATGTATCCGTCAATTCACACATCGTATCCATTCCTCTATCCTTCTGTCCACCAATCAGTCTACCAGTCCATCTTTTGCTCAATCAATCCATCTATTCGTTCCTCTATTTTTCTATCTATGTATCTAGCCATGAATCAATCCTTATAATAATCCATCAATCCATCTATGTCTGCCTTTCTCTGTCCCCTCTCTGTCTGTATTGCTACCATTCTTGTCTTTGTCTCTCCCTGTCTATCTCTCTCCCTCTGTCTCTGTCTCCCTCTGTCTCTGTCTCTCGTAGAAAAAATAAACATTTCCACCTATTACTGTGTGGTGATCGCCGGTTGCAGGAACTTAACAGTGCAAAAGTTTTGATATAACAGTTACCCGATTTTCGTTGAGACGCAGGAAGGACCAGAGAAACCTTAAAAGCTGAGGGAGAATCGTCTGGTTTATGCGACTACTGACAAGTTGTGCATAGCAGGACATTTCTGTTAATTTCATCGAGATGAGAAAATACTGGCGTGTGTATATATTATTATAAGAAAACGTCATTTTTTTTTTTTAGAAATGTTTCTTTTAAACAAAATTATGTTTCATCACAAAAAAAATTGAGTGGCTCGGAATGTGACCATAGCACGCTGTTCCCTATTAAGTTTGGTGACCCTAATCAGCCTATGATTATTCCGTCTTCCAGACTATTCCCTCTATCCATATGGATGAGGCTAGTCCCAAGCGTCTGACCTACAACTTCGGACAAGCAGACAGACATTCTCTTTTATAGGTATTGAGACATAAGTGAGTGTGTGTTTGTGTGTTAGACAGAAGCCTAATGAATCTCCTTCCTCGTATGAAAGCAATCTATTTACGTAAAGAGAAAGACTCATACCTCATAATCGCAAGTGGAGCTGCAGGTCTCTGCATCTTCACAGCCCTCCACTTCTATGGGTGGGAAGGAAAGTACCTCGATCTCTTCAATTTGATCATTGACAAAGATGCCACACTGGCACTGTGGCGGCCCCTGAGAACTGCAATAACATCACAAGAGTAGATCTATATTCTCCATGGTAGAATCTTGTAGATTCAAGTTAGATTCCAATTAGGTAGAATCTATCCGTCATGAGATGCCTAACAAACGGAATTTCCTTACAAAGCGGAATAAATAAAATGGAAATAGTTTGCTTCTGTTATAAACAAATTACAGCAATTTTTCTGGAAATTGTAATTCGATATAATATAGCCAACAAGATTTTTACCCACATGAATTGTTAGAGATGGAATAATACTAATTACAATTCGTCATTGCTCTGTTACTGATGTGTATATTTTCATTACATAATAAATTGTTAAACATATTTCTCATGTACATCAATATAATATTCAGAATAAAACATCTTAAGCTAAATGACATAGAGTAGTGGAGTGTTACCATGTGAGGGCGGCTTGGGCGAGTAGGACCAGGAGGCACTTCATCTTGCTGGCAGAAGCTGTATGAGGAGCAGCCTCCAGCAGGCAGCTTTGTACTGCCTTGAGACCCTCCCCAGCAGGAGTGCAAGGTCCCCAGGTGAGGCAGTCACCTGCCTGCTCCCAGCATCGACCGACGTTCTACTCCTATGAAAAACTAATTGTATTTTGAATTTAGGTCTTGTAAAACTAAGAAATTCAAATTTCTTTTGAATTAAGGAATATTCGATGAAGCTTTGGACCTTTGACCATTTACATTAATTTTGAATAGAATTGTTTTATATATCTTAACATATATGGCTTTATTTAACATCATTGATTTAAAAATTGCTACAAATTATTCAATATCTCGATGGAGTAAATGCTGAAAATATATTCATTATACAGTGTTGAATAACTTTAGTTTGCTTATGGCAATTATGTTAGCTTTAGTTAGCACTGTTAATTCAGTAATTAGGCAAATATTCATATAATCAAAATATAATTCAAGTTATTTTATTAGTATTTTTCTTGATATTAAGACAGAATGGGGCAATATCATCCCGACAATATCATCTGTGATGCAGTACCATAGCTTTCACTCCCTTGCAAGGAGTGCATGGGAGTAGGAGGGATTAAATATTATGATAGATATCGTGAGGAGACATTCACATATGGGACTAATAGAACAGAAACCCGGCAATGTGATGTTATAGTGGCCAGAATACGCCTGGGATATAGAAGTATCTGGCAGCTTTTTGAAAACCCAAATGTGGAGTACACAATGTGTCAACTTTGTGAAAGAGAAAACATGCACTCTCTTGAACATTATAATGTAGAATGTCCCATATTGACTGACTTTCGCCCTCCCCGGCTTAGGTATGCTGAACTGTGTAATTACTATATGAGTACTGGAACACTCGATGATATATTGGACTTGTACCCAAGATTAACCATGTAATGTATCAATTATACAATGTATGTATGTGATGTAACTATATAACCTGAGCTTGTAAGAGCACCTTAATTACCTTCAGTGATTAAGTGCTTAATTGCAAAATGACTTCTGCTGCATTTTTGTTATTAATTACTATCGTTAATCAAGAAGACTTTTCTAGGACGACAAGGCCCGTTATTCCTAACGGGGGCAATAGTTTGATACCCAACAAAGTAAGTGTACATTATTATGAGATAAATCATGTCAATAATTGAATTCTCAACATTCATTTGGAAATCCTGTCCACAATAGTATTTGAAGTTGTTTGACAAAATTCAATATTCGCTGCACTTCGAGTGAGAATCAATCTTATCATTCCTGAGTAAGAGCCCATCATTCAGACTTTTTAGGCACATAAAAGATGTGGCTGATCTGCGTATTTTTCAAAGAATAAAAACTACATGCATCCCATTTTATCTTCTCTTCAACTCCCTCTCTTAACAATAATCTATCACAAACGAGGTGCCATTGTAACAATCAAATCAATATTTTATTGGCACGAATAGAACAATCTTGACACTCATATAAACCTAGACACTCAATATTTTAAAGACTTTATCTAAATGTTGGCCACGAAAGCATTCAACAGTTAATATTTCTAAATGTAAAAATAAAAAAGTAAAGTACTGAACTGAGGCACAACTACAGTCAACGGACCAGAAAATCAACAGTTCTACATTGCAATCTCCAAATACAAATTTCACAATTAATGTGTAAAAAAAAATAATAATAATAATAATAATAATAACCTTACAACAGTTAAAAATAAAAACATACAATAAGGACAACTGAAACAATATCAAAGAAAAACAAGGTGACTAATTTATAAATAAATAAAATTAAACAATCAGATTTAACAAAAACACGTAACGCACCGGAGCTAATCATTTCTTCCCAAACACGTGAGACTTCTCACCACCTGGACAGCCGCTCGTGAGAAACTGGCATCTTGATATCACAGTACCGAAACCTAATCGTGTGTCCCGGGAACCTGGGTTTCCTATTGAGTCTATCAGTGTGTGAAGATCCGTAAGGCTTTTCCTGGTAAGTTATCTGGCCGGTAAACATGTGTGAGAAAGTGACCTAAGAGTGCAGAAATAGGTTATGGAGGAAAGGAGAGAGAGAGAGAGAGAGAGAGAGAGAGAGAGAGAGAGAGAGAGAGAGAGAGAGAGAGAGAGAGAGAGAGAGAGAGAGAGAGAGAGAGAGAGAGAGAGAGAGAGAGAGAGAGAGAGAGAGAGAGAGAGAGAGAGAGAGAGAGAGAGAGAGAGAGAGAGAGAGAGAGAGAGAGAGAGAAAGGGAGAGAAATGGTTTATTCTCCTTTTTAATTTAGAGGCCACGGAGACACGTGGGTTGAATGTGCTCGTGTTTCCTTGTCGAGGAAAACACAAAGTTTTGCGGCAATAATGTATATCATGTACAGGGAAAACAGGTATGCCTTTGCCTGGTGGCAGGTAAACACGGTGTTCGACGGAGGCTGAGCCAGCCCTGACTACACTCGTGCAGGCAAGCACCGGACCCTCACTCCGCACAAGGGGCCAACCTGAAGATCTCTTGGTAATTTAAACAAATTCATACCCTACCGGCAGAACTGCAAGGGTTTACATTCTTTAGCGGTTCAATTTCCAGCTCAGCAAGCGAAAAAACAGGAAAGTCTTCTAATAACCTCCGGCGAAACAAAAGTCAAACGCCCACTACGCCTCGTGGGTACACCCACTCTCTCAGAAGAACATAAGAACTTATGAAATATGAGTGAACACAGACTTCCTGTATGTTCGTTCTAGCCGGTGCTCATCTTGACCGAGCCGTTTTTCCTCACATCGACTTGTTTATAAACTAACTATTTCATTATGTTCTGTGATGCTAACCGGCATCCTATTCCTTCGTCTACCACCCTATTGACAATGTAATACTTCCATAACCTTCACGATACTTTGCCTCTCTAACTTACAGCTGAAGAAGTAACGGATAGTTTCAAAACCTTGCTCACATTTCCCCATGTTGATACCGCTCCTCCACCTGAAGACCTCCATCACATATCCCCCTGTCTCACCAGGGAGTGTAGGCTGAAGGTCCTCAACCTGATTGGTCACTGCAAATCATGACCCCCGCCCCCCAAGTTTCTATAAGTTCCTATCACAATTCTTTTTTTTTTTGCCCAAACCCGTTAAATGGTGACACTTTCATTTCCCAAGTTGAATCCATGCACGTATCATTGTTACACTTCATCTGTCACACTTTTCCTCTGATGTGTGATGAGGACTTTTTGATATTTTACGTTTTATTTCATTAACTGACATATAATGATGTCAGACTCTGGAAGTCTGTGTAGAGGGACGTCAATACCAAATGAATAATAGCGGCTCCTCCACGGGTTTGTGTATGAGAAATACACAGGAAAGCTCACCTCGGAGCTGAGAATAGGCTCCAGTCACTACCAGCAGTGATTGGAGTCTTGTAATTAACAGACGAAGTCAACGAGTGTGCATTTATTGCAGGCGGGTCACGGGTCGTAAATTGCTTCGAATCTCATTCGTGCAGGCCCTTCACGGCTTGCGCGTGGCTAAAGATCCTGAACCCTGCTGCTATCGATGAATGCTTAATTCAGTTTGCAATTTTAGAATTCTTTCTGGAAAAGTGTGGCGCTCATTCTCTAGGTTTGAAGTGACCTTCATCAAAATGCTTCACCGTGGTCTATAAATAAAATAATTGGAAATTCTTCCATTTTTGATACGAGGAATGGCATATGTTATATGGGGAGGTCTGCCAATAGCTATGATTGTTATTATTCCTACCAGTAGCGACGTCAATCTTTGGAACAGTTACTCATGACACCGACACCATCTTCTATTTTCAAACAAGACGGGAAACTTTAGAAATTCTCACTGACGTCTACCACAACCAGTACTCGAGACCAAAAGGTTCGTCTATAATGCAAATTCCGGAAATACCAGCTAATGAAGTCTCCTATAGTTTTTGAAAACCACCATAGCCTTCCAACACAAGAAAATGGTTTACGGGAAGGGTAACCCTTATTAGTAGTGTGAAGGATATAATTATGGCGATCATATGTTGTGAACACGAACACTGAAGATAATCGTGTTTGCATAGTACAGATGTACACTGCTGATGACAGTGTGTGGACATGTAGTTCAGAAACTCGCTTTGTGTAGGATTACTGGGGACCCGGAAGGGTCAATAATCGCAATAAAGACGTGGCTAAAATGCAACCCGTTCTCGCACTTTCGTGTAAGCAATATTGACTTATTAAATACGTGCATATGTGACATACTAATTTATTGTGAATATTTTAGTTTACCTTGAAAAGCTTCATAGAAAACACCGACCTTACCTAACCTTCTTAGTATGTTAAGATAAGCATCTTATTGCTTCGTAATTACAATTATTACTTAACCTATTAGAGGTATAGGTTAAGCAATTACTTAACCTATTATAGGTGTTAAGAAATAATTGTAACCTATTAAAATTATTACTTAACCTATTAGAGGTATAGGTTAAGTAATTACTTAACCTATTATAGGTATAGGTTAAGTAATTACTTAACCTATTATAGGTATAGGTTAAGTAATAATTGTAATTACGAAGCAATAAGATGCTTATCTTATCATACTAAGAAGGTTAGGTAAGGTCAGTGTTGTCTATGAAGCTTTTCAAGGTAATCTAAAATATTCACAATAAATTAGTATGTCACATATGCACTTATTTAACAAGTCAATATTGACTGTTAGAAAGTGCGAGAACGGGTTGTAAAATGCGTGTAGTGCTGATGTGGCATCTGTTCTTCAATCGGACAAATCCGGCCCCTCACTTTGAAATAATAAAAAAAAGACGTATCAACTCGCTTGGTGATACATAAACATGTTGTTCAATATGCCTGTGGCAGTATGTTGTCCTGCTTATCATTGTGGGAGTCGAGTTCCGGCACGAGAAAAGGTATAACCAGCAAGATAAAGATATAACCGAATATTAAACGTAGCTGGGAAAATGTTTCGGGTGTCCCCTTCAGACAGGGCTCGCGGTTGGAAAAACCCAGCGATATTCATAGTGACAGCTGCGTGAATTCCTGA